GCATAAGTTTAACAGCCTGGTATGATGCAGGTCTGGAAATAAGTATACTAAATTGATCTTAATCTTAACAACTATAAACATAGTTAAATTTTTTTCTCATGAGAACCTTGGTGCAGTAGTTAACTGCTGTTTTCCTTCTGTTTCATTCAATTTTCTCCATCTCTGTGTGTGTCTTTCATTTCTTTATATACATAAATTTTATCCTGTCCTTCATTATATTCTTTGTCATTGTTTCCATTTCACTTTTCTTGTGTTTCATTCCTGTATCTTTCTTATTTAGACCAAGTGGAGCACCCAGCTGGCAGTAGCCGCCATGTAGGACCCTTCAGGAACCTGATGGTAAGTGCACATGTGTACTTATCAGGCTCCCAATGGGTTCTCTGCTCTCCCAGTTCCTGAGGCATCTCTTGACTCATAGAAACTGTTAAGTCTCTGCTCGGCCCTTTAAAAGTCTTAATAGATTTGCTTTTGGCTTTTCTTTTGTTTGATTGCATAATGATTTAAGAAAATATAGACAGTAAAAGCACTTTCTGCAGTATTTGGCTTTGAGAGCAGCACTGCGTGTGTGTAGGTGTCTGTTAGGGCACTGGGCTCTACTCTGTTCTGTCAGACTGATTTGGTGAGCTTGGCCAAGTCTCTGGCCTTCAGTGTTTTCTGCAAAATGAGCACGTAGGCCAGATGATTTTATAGCACCTTCAGTTCTAGGCTGAGTAACTTGAGTGTTAGATAATTCAAATTAAGATTGAGGAAGTGGCTTTATGCACCAGACATTTTCAATTCCATGACTGAAAGATGAGATGATTTGATTCATGATAAACTCAGTTCCATTGCAATCTAAGCCTGTCAGTGTTTATCAGAGTTACTTTGAAGTAAATGCAGTGACTCCATCTCTCAGTTACTAGTATTGGCTTTGTTAGTGTTGGCCACTTTCTGTAATTTTAAATGAATTAATATATAGAATACTGGGTCCAGGATGTGTTTAATGACCTACAGAAATGCGGATCTAGCTTAGTGGATTTCAACTTGGAAATTTTACTCCCCGGGATAATACTTGGCAATGCCTGGAGACTTTTGATTATCAGAACTGAATGGAGTCAGGAGGAGTTTGCTGCTATTAACCGGTGGGTAGAGGCCAGGGATGCTCGTCAGCGTTTTAGAGTACTCAAGACATGCCTGTACAGCAGAGAATTATTTGGCCCCTAGGAGCAGTGACTGTATTTTCTTGTTAGTCCTCTGATGAGAGCACAAAAGCTATACATCAGCCTATTTTTCTCAAGAGCAGAAGCAGGTGTCTATAGCCATGGCTTTTAAAGAGGGCTTCTGGAGAAAATATGGGAAGGAATTTTTCATTGATTAGGCTTGAGGGGGGTCTTAGTAGTGGATGCTTGCTATTCTGTGTTAGCTGGGTTTCAAGTATTCTTTAAGGCATAAAGCTTAAAATAAAAATAACGCGTTGACAATGTAGAAGATGTGATTACATTTTGAGTGTTTCTTAGTAAGTGTTGTTAAAGTGGTATGTGATTTTATTGTAATACAACTTTAGGAAGTTCATTCATTTATTTACTTTTCATAATATAGGCAGGTTTACCACTCACATCCACATCACTGCTGCAGGTGTTCATATAACACTTGAGAGGCTGCCAGAAAATCGTCTCATCGCTTGAAATGGCACTTGGCTATCCTCAAATCCCCTCTGCCATTACGTTTTACAATGCAACTTTAAAAAAGTTTATGGAAGTTATATATAAGAAGTGAGGCTTAAACTACACCTCTTCATCTTATTTAAAAGATTTCACTTGTATGATGTGCAAAATGGTCAGTAGGAAAAAAAAATCACACTGCTTTATTTATTTGAGTGCCTAAGTAGTCTACATGTGTTCTGTTTCACATAGGGTTTTCAGAGGTCTGCTATTTCAGAAGTGGATGGCCAATCCTTCTTCCTAGTCTGTCTTAATCTGAATGTTCAGATTTAGAGGAGT